TTTTTTTGACTGGTTGGCAGACCGCCGACCAGTCAGCCCAACTGGTCGGCTGCAATACGGTCGGCGGTCGGCAGGGATGCAACCCTGTATTTTACTGATATGTCCCCATAGCTTGTTTCAGAACTTGAGATTTTATCGATGTGCTCCTTAGCTTTCTGCTTTTTTTATTCGCTACTCGGAGGTATGGGTAATTGCAATTTTGATTTTGCTGATATGTCCCCATAGCCTTGCACTTTTTTTTTTCCCTTTCTGGAAGTGCGAGAGCCTTGAGATATCACCATTGAAGTGACCAGGCCGAGGCAATTCAGAATTATTTTATTCTGGTCATCTCACTGTATCTGACCAGCCCCCGGCAATTGAGAATGATCTTATTCTGGTCATCTGATCATATCGGATTGGAACTTGGGTCTGTATTTCGACAGTTCATACATCCACAACAGAGTGAGGCCCGTTGGTTGGCCTTACGCTTAAAAAGAAGAGAGAAAAACAAAGAAAATGAATCCTCCATTATTAAGGTCCCGCTGTCTTGAGCCCCCAGCCTTGAGCCCCCCCACGGGTAACAGTTACATACCCCAGCCTCCCAACCAGCCGTTGGCCTATCCATACCGAAAAGTGCTAATCTCGAAAAAAAGGGGCCAAAAGCAACAGTAACCGACACCCAGTCTACAGACACTAAACTCGGTTGTGCCACCCAGTACGTCCTCGTCAACTTAAACCAGTGAAAGACTTAGTGACACTCACAGACCCTGTGAGGCTTCGCCAGTATTCCAAAGTAGGTCAGTGCACGAAGGACTAATTGGCTCTCACAACGACAGCATGGCTTTGCCCACCTGACAAAGTCGCTGATGGTGAGTCTCACTGGCCAAGAGCGGCTTCACAAACATGACATGGTAGGTCAGTCACTCGACATCTAAGTCCAACACAGGCCAACAATGAATTACTTTGAAAACAAATCAGACAGACACACCAAACACCAAAATATGAAGCAGCTGCACGCAACCGTCCTCCAAAGGTTGCCAATCTGGACGAGAGCAGAGTTGCATCACTTTGAGCACTTCCCTAAACTGAGTAGCTGAGTGACTTAGTGATTAGTCAGTGACTGAGGGACCGAAGAACTGACGGACTGATAAACCGATTCAGTGACTGAATGACTCACTCAGTGAGGATTGACTAACTGACGAGTTGACTAACTGCCTGACTGCCTGACAGCTTGACAGACTGACTGAGTGACTGACTAAATATCGGACTAACTACCTGCCTGCCTGAATGCCTGAATGACCGACTAAGAAACTGATTGACTGGCTGACTGGCTGGCTGGCTGACACATCCACTGCCTCACTGCCTGACGTACTTACTGACTCACTAACTAACTGACTGGGTGGCTGGCTGCCTCGGTGACTTACTGACTGACCGACAGACTGACTGATTGACTAAGTGTCTGACAGACAGACAATCGGACACGCTGACTGAACGACTCGCTGAATGAATGATTTACTGACTGACCCACAGACCGCCGGACAGACTGTCCGTCTGATTGACTGACTGACTCACTAACGGACTCGCTGACAGACTGACCGACTGACTAACACACACTAACCGACAGACACAAATTCACCACGTCACAAATTACATCGATGAAAACTTGACACATGCAATGTCTCTTTGGTCATGGTTGCATCCCTGCCGACCGCCGACCCCGACCGCCGACCGTATTGCAGCCGACCAGTAGGGACGACCGGTCGGCGGTCTGCCGACCAGTCAGAAAACAACCATCCACTAATTTTTTTTCAGATCTGAGTTGGAAGC